GTTACGCAACCTTTACACACACACACACGCACAAAACCATATGCATATCTATACCATATTGGCACGCACACGCACACATAGACACACACACACACACACAAAACCTTATGCATATTTGTATTGGCACACACACGCACACAGACACATTAACCCGCCTATATTGACACACGCATACACACCTAGACACATATAGACGCACACATACACACTTAGACACATACAGTACACACACACATATAGACGCACACATACACACGTAGACACATTAACCCACACATATAGACGCACACATACACGCCTAGACACATTAACCCACACATATAGACGCACACATACACACCTAGACACATACACACCTAGACACACAAACACACACACATAGACGCACACCTACACACCTAAACACATAAACACACACACATAGACGCACACATACACACACACATATAGACGCACACATACACACCTAGACACATTAACCCACACACCTAGACACACAAACACACACACATAGACGCACACCTACACACCTAGACATAAACACACACATATAGACGCACACACAAACAAACACATATAGACGCACACATACACACATAGACGCACACACAAACACACACATATAGACGCACACACAAACACACACATATAGACACACATTACACATTTCAGTAGATAGTTTTTGTTCTCTTGTCTGTAACTGACGATGCAACACTGGAATTTCCCCACTGTGGGACCGAGCTTCCTCTTTGATGGCGATAAACAAATGTTGGACGTCATTACTTTTCGCTGCTGAGACTTTTGCGTCGCTAACAGATGCGTCGCTAATACGTTAGCATGACGGCGCACATCTCTTTTGAAGGCAGACATTTTGTTCTTTCTCTCGTCGCCGCGGAGACGAAGCCGCCGTAATGAGACATTTAAATACTCCTAATCCAAAGTTAAAAGACTTAATTAGTAAACAGGAAAAGTGGATCGGGGGAGGAGGGTGGAGGGGGGGAGAGGGGGGGAGAGTGGGGGAGGAGAGGGTGGAGGGGGGGGAGTGGGGGAGGAGAGACGGGAGAGTGGGGGAGGGAGGGGAGAGTGGGGGAGGGGTTAATAAAGACCATGGTCATCATTTGTAGATGGAAGAGAATACAATTCACAATACAATATAAATTATTCTTGTATAGCCCTCGCCACATGGTACTGGTCCATAGGGAGAGACCACATGGTACTGGTCCATAGGGAGAGACCACATGGTACTGGTCCATAGGGAGAGACCACATGGTACTGGTCCATAGGGAGAGACCACATGGTACTGAGTATCAGGGAGAGACCACATGGTACTGGTCCATAGGGAGAGACCACATGGTACTGGTCCATAGGGAGAGACCACATGGTACTGGTCCATAGGGAGAGACCACATGGTACTGGTCCATAGGGAGAGACCACATGGTACTGGTCCATAGGGAGAGACCACATGGTACTGGTCCATAGGGAGAGACCACATGGTACTGGTCCATAGGGAGAGACCACATGGTACTGGTCCATAGGGAGAGACCACATGGTACTGGTCCATAGGGAGAGACCACATGGTACTGGTCCATAGGGAGAGACCACATGGTACTGGTCCATAGGGAGAGACCACATGGTACTGGTCCATAGGGAGAGACCACATGGTACTGGTCCATAGGGAGAGACCACATGGTACTGGTCCATAGGGAGAGACCACATGGTACTGGTCCATAGGGAGAGACCACATGGTACTGGTCCATAGGGAGAGACCACATGGTACTGGTCCATAGGGAGAGACCACATGGTACTGGTCCATAGGGAGAGACCACATGGTACTGGTCCATAGGGAGAGACCACATGGTACTGGTCCATAGGGAGAGACCACATGGTACTGGTCCATAGGGAGAGACCACATGGTACTGGTCCATAGGGAGAGACCACATGGTACTGGTCCATAGGGAGAGACCACATGGTACTGGTCCATAGGGAGAGACCACATGGTACTGGTCCATAGGGAGAGACCACATGGTACTGGTCCATAGGGAGAGACCACATGGTACTGGTCCATAGGGAGAGACCACATGGTACTGGTCCATAGGGAGAGACCACATGGTACTGGTCCATAGGGAGAGACCACATGGTACTGGTCCATAGGGAGAGACCACATGGTACTGGTCCATAGGGAGAGACCACATGGTACTGGTCCATAGGGAGAGACCACATGGTACTGGTCCATAGGGAGAGACCACATGGTACTGGTCCATAGGAAGAGACCACATGGTACTGGTCCATAGAGAGAGACCACATGGTACTGGTCCATAGGGAGAGACCACATGGTACTGGTCCATAGGGAGAGACCACATGGTACTGGTCCATAGGGAGAGACCACATGGTACTGGTCCATAGGAAGAGACCACATGGTACTGGTCCATAGGAAGAGACCACATGGTACTGGTCCATAGAGAGAGACCACATGGTATTGGTCCATAGGGAGAGACCACATGGTACTGGTCCATAGAGAGAGACCACATGGTATTGGTCCATAGGGAGAGACCACATGGTACTGGTCCATAGGGAGAGACCACATGGTAAAAGAGAGAGAACCAGAGAAAGAGAGAGAGACCCTTCAGTCCACATTAGAAGTGTCATTGTTTATTTGGTCCTAAATCCAGATTTTTTGACAGAATTATTCACTGCGTTTTCTACAAGTCTTTCCTTTAAATCCATGTATTTCTATATTTTATTTATTTTTGGAGGCAAATTGTTCCTGGTTCCTTCAAGAATGTCTAGTTTACCCGGAAGCATTGATCTTCCACATTTCCAGACTCGATCTTAAACATATTAATTGACCAAAAAAACAACATATGTAGAAAAAGCTGCACGTGTCGGTGACAGAAACCTGCGGCTCTGACCTTTCTCCTGGATTTACATGAACGCATCATCGTCGCATTAATTGGACGAATGCAGATCCATACGCCGCAATTACCGCTCTCTAAACATGCGTGTGTGAGGTGTGTGTGAGGCGTGTGTGAGGCGTGTGTGCGGCGTGTGTGAGGCGTGTGTGCGGCGTGTGTGCGGCGTGTGTGAGATGTGTGTGTGGCGTGTGTGCGGCGTGTGTGTGGCATGTGTGTGGCGTGTGTGTGGCGTGTGTGCGGCGTGTGTGAGGCGTGTGTGAGATGTGTGTGTGGCGTGTGTGCGGCGTGTGTGTGGCGTGTGTGTGGCGTGTGTGTGGCGTGTGTGAGGCGTGTGTGAGATGTGTGTGTGGCGTGTGTGAGGCGTGTGTGTGTGGCGTGTGTGAGGTGTGTGTGTAGCGTGTGTGAGGGGTGTGTGGGTGGCGTGTGTGAGGTGTGTGTGTGGCGTGTGTGAGGTGTGTGTGAGGCGTGTGTGAGGTGTGTGTGTGGCGTGTGTGAGGCGTGTGTGTGTGGCGTGTGTGAGATGTGTGTGTGAGGCGTGTGTGTGCCGTTTGTGAGACGTGTGTGAGGTGTGTGTGCGGCGTGTGTGCGGTGTGTGTGAGGCGTGTGTGTGGCTTGTGTGAGGCGTGTGTGAGATGTGTGTGAGGCGTGTGTGTGCCGTTTGTGAGACGTGTGTGAGGTGTGTGTGAGGCGTGTGTGAGGCGTGTGTGAGGCATGTGTGAGGCGTGTGTGTGGCGTTTGTGCGGCGTGTGTGCGGCGTGTGTGAGGCGTGTGTGTGGCGTGTGTGTGACGTGTGTGAGGCGTGTGTGCGGCGTGTGTGATGCGTGTGTTAGGTGTGTGTGAGGCATGTGTGTGGCGTGTGTGTAGCGTATGTGTGGGGTGTGTGTGTGGCGTGTGTGAGGCGTGTGTGTAGCATGTGTGTGGCATGTGAGTGGCGTGTGAGGCGTGTGTGTGGTGTGTAAGGCGTGTGTGTGTGGCGTGTGTAAGGCATGTGTGTGGTGTGTAAGGCGTGTGTGTGTGGCGTGTGTAAGGCATGTGTGTGGTGTGTGTGAGGCGTGTGTGAGGGGTGTGTAAGGCGTGTGTGTGAGGCGTGCGTGTAAGGCGTGTGTATGGTGTGTAAGGCGTGTGTGTGAGGCGTGTGTGCGGCGTGCGAGACGTGTGAGGCGTGTGCAGAGTGTGTGAGGCGTCTGTGTAAGGCGTGTGTATGGTGTGTAAGGCGTGTGTGTGAGGCGTGTGTGTAAGGCGTGTGTGTGAGGCGTGTGTGCGGCATGCAAGACGTGTGAGGCGTGTGTGTGCAACGCGTATGAGGCGTGTGCAGAGTGTGTGAGGCGTCGATAGCCCTCAGAGGCAGCGGCCGCATTGACGAGTGGCATTTCCACAGTTTAGTCTGAGTAGAGTCGGGTTAGCGGGCCGCGACCCTGGCTCCGGGCGCCGCGTATTGAGCTTCGAGCCTCAAACCCGAGCCAACATTTCTCTCCTGTCTCCGGTGATTAAAGCACAACTATCTTTAGTCGGGATCAGTAATGGAGAAGAGACTGAAGGTTTTTGTCACAACACGAACCAAAAACATGAGATCGCGGCTTCTTTGCACCGGCTTCTCTGTCGTTTTAGAACTGATTTTAATATTGTATTTGTTTATAATGTGGAGAAGAAGACACTTAAACCCAGAGCACAGGGACTTCTCTGTGGTCTTAAACCCAGAGCACAGGGACTTCTCTGTGGTCTTAAACCCAGAGCACAGGGCCTTCTCTGTGGTCTTAAACCCAGAGCACAGGGCCTTCTCTGTGGTCTTAAACCCAGAGCACAGGGCCTTCTCTGTGGTCTTAAACCCAGAGCACAGGGCCTTCTCTGTGGTCTTAAACCCAGAGCACAGGGCCTTCTCTGTGGTCTTAAACCCAGAGCACAGGGCCTTCTCTGGGGTCTTAAACCCAGAGCACAGGGCCTTCTCTGGGGTCTTAAACCCAGAGCACAGGGCCTTCTCTGGGGTCTTAAGCCCAGAGCACAGGGCCTTCTCTGTGGTTTCAAACTCAGCTGCGGTATCGAGCTCCGAGCCTCAAACCCGAGCCAAGATTTCTCTCCTGTCTGCGGTGATTAAAGCAGAATTATTTTTAGCGCTGTGGTGGGATCAGTAATGGCGGCGTCGGTAATGGCGGCGTTGGACAGTTCCAGAGACTGTTGGAACAGCCAATCAGCTCCGAGCCTGATCTCCACGCCAAACACTTCATTAGCCCGCGACAGGAGAGAGCGAGGAGGTGACGGAGACCACGGTGCGCCGCTGTGGCAGGCCCTGTGCCGGTGATAAGTGCTTTGCTCATGGACACAATGGAAGAACCCAGAGCTCACAGTAAGGGTTGAGCATCAGTCCATATTAAGAAACAGACCACATGGTATTGGACCATTGGGAGAGAGCACATGGTATTGGTCCATAGGGAGAGACCATATGGTATTGGACCATAGGGAGAGACCACATGGTATTGGTCCATAGGGAGAGACCATATGGTATTGGTCCATAAAGAGAGACCACATGGTATTGGTCATGTTGATGGTCCATACGTAGCTCACAATAAGGGTAGAGCATTATTAAGCAACAGAGAAAATATACTGTATCTACTGTAAACTGTTTATAGCATCATGTATTTTTGTGTATCGCCCAAAATCACAACCGTAGTTTTCTGGGAGAACTTTACAAAGCTGCCGATTCACCAACACAGATCAGAGAATCAAACCGTTCAAACGCAGGAAACCGTGAAGTTTTTGGTATTTTCTGGCCTGGCCTCTCTCTGTTCCAAACGCCTGGCCTCTCTCCGTTCCAAACGCCTGGCCTCTCTCTGTTCCCAACGCCTGGCCTCTCTCTGTTCCAAACGCCTGGCCTCTCTCTGTTCCAAACGCCTGGCCTCTCTCCGTTCCAAACGCCTGGCCTCTCTCTGTTCCAAACGCCTGGCCTCTCTCTGTTCCAAACGCCTGGCTTCTCTCTGTTCCAAACGCCTGGCCTCTCTCTGTCCCAAACGCCTGGCCTCTCTCTGTTCCAAACGCCTGGCCTCTCTCCGTTCCAAACGCCTGGCTTCTCTCTGTTCCAAACGCCTGGCCTCTCTCCGTTCCAAACGCCTGGCCTCTCTCTGTTCCAAACGCCTGGCTTCTCTCTGTTCCAAACGCCTGGCCTCTCTCTGTTCCAAACGCCTGGCCTCTCTCTGTTCCAAACGCCCGGCCTCTCTCCGTTCCAAACGCCTGGCCTTTCTCTGTTCCAAACGCCTGGCCTCTCTCTGATCCAAATGCCCGGCTCACGATGGCTCTCGCACCAAAACCGACAGGTACAAAGCAGCGATACATTACGGGCCGCGCAGACAAATGGCAAAACAAAACCGGCGCAACACTCGAGAATTAGATAAAAGTGGGAACAGACGGAAAACCCGATGGAAAAACAGTCAAATGTATCAACAATTAAAGCGGGAAACCTGTGTATTTATGCAAAACGGCCGTGTAACTAATGGAGTGAGAACGCTCCATGCCAAGACTGCAGGCCCGGCACATCAGTCATCTCTGCGAGCTCTAATTTCTGCTGCTTAACAAAGATATTTCAGGTGCAATGCGTTTGAATAATATTATTAAGTATTATGGAAATGTGGGAGACAGGGAAGTGCAGAACAAATATGGATGACGATTGGAAAAATGGACTAAAATGTGTTCAGGGCCCGACATGGAGAGGTTGGATTCACTTGTTAAACTACAAATATTGAGCTTTGTAAGCACATTTATCAAGGCTAATGCGAGTTTATCGGATTAGCACAGTTTATACACGAGGCAACTCCAAGGGCGGAAAAAGACAAGAGCGGAATTCATACAAAAATAATCACAGTTTGTCAAAAAGAGCAAATAACTGTTTTTAACCTGGATTTAAACATTGTCAGAGTAGGTTCAGGCTCCGTCCCCAGAGCTTTGGCCTTTTCTATATGTTTTTAGTGGTAGAGGAAACCGGAGCACCTGGAGGAAACCGGAGCACCTGGAGGAAACCTACACAGACACAGGGAGAACACAGAATCCCCACTTAAGAGTATATACTTAAGTGTTGCTTCTTTATGAAGCTAAAGTTAGAGATTAGCTTTAGCTTCATAAAGAAGAAAGTACAGAGTTACTGTTCATTTATCTTTCTCTTTTCTACTGCTCTGTATCTGACGATGCAACACTGGAATTTCCCCACTGTTGGACCGATAAACTCTACTCTACTCTACTTTACCCTTCTCTACTCTACTCTACTCTACTCTACTCTACTCTACTCTACTCTACTCTACTCTACTCTACTCTACTCTACTCTAAACTACTGTTTCTATTGTCATTAAACGTCCTCTTTTATATATATTTGTCATAAACTAATAAAAGTCAACACTAGATTCTTCTTTCAACAAACGCCATCGACCAAATCATGATTTTGATTTGAATTCAAACGACTTCAACACCTGCCGCTGAACTGGAACATACATTATTATAGAACCGCGTTAGCTAGCCTCCCGGGAAATCGCAAAACAAAGCTTATCAACCCTGTGTAGCCGGATAAATTTGACCCAAAACGCCGCTTGTAAACATAATGAAACACCTGTACACAGTGAAAGGCGTCTGTCAAAACTAATCTGAAACAGCAGTGCCTTAAATCCCCATCGGTCCCTGAAGGCACCGCTCCGGGCCGCTGTCCTCACCGCTAACGCTAACGACGCTCGGACATTAGCATACTCTGTCTGTCAGCTCGCAAATGAATGACACTGCTTTCATCTGCGCCCGTGTCATCCCCGCTTAGCCGCGACACGGTTCAAGCTCGCCGCTCGCTCCGGTCCCGCGCCGAGGCCCCCAAGATTAACTAATAAATAGAATAATTTCGCCATCAATATTACGGCGGCGCGGTGACATTGTCAGAGGGGAGCAGCAAAACAAGCAATCTGTGTAAGTGATGAGCGGATGTGGACGGAGAGGGATGGGATCTGTTTGGGGCGCGGGACTTCGAACCCATTCTGCAAAATGCCTCCAGACAAGAGCAAGTGGGCAATCTAATCCAAGAGCATTTCTCAACGTGTCCGAATAGTTGTGTTTTTTCCCGTGTTTGTTGCTGATTCATGAGCGGCTCGGGACATAAACACGACGGGAGTGGAGTCGAGAAGGAGAGAGCAGAGGCCAGTTTATTGGTGTAGCGCAGACGCAGTCCTGGACACTCAGACGAGGCTTTAGCATCGTTAATAATCAGAAGAGTAAAGATGAAATCACTCAGAACTGTTTTTAACCTGGATTTGAACAGAAGAAGAGAAGGAGCCTGTCTCACATTTTCAGGAAGACTGCTACAGATTGGGGGCGACAGTGGCTCAGTGGGTAGACCAATGGGGATCAAGAGAGACCAAAGAGAGAGACCAGAGAGAGAGACCAAGTCTCTCTCTCTGGTCTCTCTTTAGTCTCTCTCTCTCTAGCCAAATTTAAGTCTCTCTCTTTCTAGTCAAATTTTTGTCTCCCTCTCTCTCTAGTCTTTCTCTCTCTAGTCTCTCTCTTTCTCTCTCTAGTCTCTCTCTTTCTCTAGTCTCTCTCTCTTTCTCTAGTCTCTCTCTCTTTCTCTAGTCTCTCTCTAGTCTCTCTCTCTTTCTCTAGTCTCTCTCTAGTCTCTCTCTCTTTCTCTCTCTAGTCTCTCTCTCTCTCTCTAGTCTCTCTCTCTTTCTCTGTAGTGTCTCTCTCTCTTTCTCTCTAGTCTCTCTCTCTTTCTCTGTAGTGTCTCTCTCTCTTTCTCTCTAGTGTCTCTCTCTTTCTCTGTAGTGTCTCTCTCTTTTTCTCTCTAGTCTCTCTCTGAAGCTTTAATTCTTAAATAAAAACACTTCTAATCAGAATTAAACTCGTCTGCTACATCCCGCTGATCACTTAATTTCCGTGGAATCAAGATGTCGTCCGTTTCCATGACAACAACGTCACAGACGCTGCCGGTTTCCAAAAGATTAGCACAAAAGTGATGTTCGTGAGAAGCTCATCAGAGACTCATCAAATATTCATGTTTGAAATGTTCTCGCCGCAAAGTGAGCTCTCACACCTTCAATTTTTAATGAGCATTAAATATCCTCAACAAAAACTAATTGACGTCCCTTTAACTGCGCGGGTTAAGATTACGGACAGTAATTAAGACCACCTGCGGAGTCTCGCTGTCGCACCAGATACTGTCATCTCTCTGACATGGAAGGAGAACAGCCGCCGCAGAAAAGCAAAAGGAGAGAGAGACCTGAGAGAGAGACCTGAGAGAGAGCATATGGAGACCAGAGAGACCTGAGAGAGAGAGACCAGAGAGAGAGCAGATGGAGGCCAGAGAGAGAGAGACCTGAGAGAGAGCAGATAGAGACCAGAGATACCTGAGAGAGAGAGACCAGAGAGAGAGCAGATGGAGGCCAGAGAGAGAGAGACCTGAGAGAGAGCAGATAGAGACCAGAGATACCTGAGAGAGAGAGACCTGAGAGAGAGCATATGGAGACCAGAGAGACCTGAGAGAGAGAGACCAGAGAGAGAGCAGATGGAGGCCAGAGAGAGAGAGACCTGAGAGAGAGCAGATGGAGACCAGAGAGACCTGAGAGAGAGAGACCTGAGAGAGAGCAGATGGAGACCAGAGAGAGAGACCAGAGAGAGAGAGAGAGAGAGCAGATGTAAAACAGAGAGAGAGCAGATAGAGACCAGGGAGTGAGACTAGAAGAGAGAGAGAGACCAATAAAAGAGAGACCAGGGAGCGAGATTAGAGGAGAGAGAGCGACCGGAGAGAGCGAGACTAGAAGAGCAAGACCAGAGAGAGAGAGACAAGAAAGAGAGAGACCAGGGAGCGAGACTAGAAGAGAGAGAGCGAGACTAGAAGAGCAAGACCAGAGAGAGAGAGACCAGGGAGCGAGACTAGAAGAGAGAGAGCGACCAGAGAGAGAGAGAGCTAGACTAGAAGAGCGAGACCAGAGAGAGAGAGACCAGAAGAGAGAGAGAGAGACCAGGGAGCGAGACTAGGATAGAGAGACCAAAGAGAGGGAGACCAGGGAGCGAGACTAGGATAGAGAGACCAAAGAGAGGGAGACCAGGGAGTGAGACTAGAAGAGAGAGAGACCAATAAAAGAGAGGCCGGGGAGCGAGACTAGGATAGAGAGACCAAAGAGAGGGAGACCAGGGTGCGAAACTAGAAGAGAGAGAGCGACCAGAGAGAGCAAGACTAGAAGAGCAAGACCAAAGAGAGAGACCAGAAGAGAGAGAGAGAGAGACCAGGGAGCGAGACAAGAAAAGAGAGAGCGACCAGAGAGAGAGAGAGAGCTAGACTAGAAGAGCAAGACCAGAGAGAGAGACCAGGGAGCGAGACTAGAAGAAAGAGAGAGACCAGAGAGAGACCGACCAGGGAGCGAGACTAGGAGAGAGAGACCAGAAAGAGAGAGACCAGGGAGCAAGACTAGGATAGATAGAGAGACCAAAGAGAGAGACCAGAAAGAGAGAGACCAGGGAGCGAAACTAGAAGAGAGAGAGAGACTACAGAAAATGCCCTCTCGTGGAGACGGACGCCATCTTGATCCCGCGGTAATGGAACCATCAGCCGATGTTGCAGACGGGTTTAATTCTGATTAAAGCTTTTTCTTTTTTGTTAAAGAAACAGATGACCTCAAACATCTCTCTCATCTCCGCTCTAATTCCTCATTTCCCGTCGCTCGCGGTCCGCCCCCGAACTCCTGACTCGGCAAGAATCGGCTCGAGAATAGGAGACGTTTATCAAATTTCTCCATTAATCTGATGTGCTATACAAGCTCAGGATTAAACCGGCCTCGAGGTTCGGAGACGGAGAAGTGTGGGAGAAACTCTTTAGTTTACTCATTTTACCGAGATGTCTTACTCTCATTCTCAGTACTAGTCTCTCTATGGTCTCGCTCTGATCTCTCTCTTTACTCTTTCTCTGGTGTCTCTCTCTCTATACTTATACTCAATACTGGTCTCATTCTCTGGCCTCTTTCTCTGGTCTCTCTCGGGTCTCTCTCTAGTCTCTCTGGTCTCTTTAGTCTCGCTCTGGTCATTCTCTAGTCTCTCTCTTATATCTCTCTGGTCTGTCTCTGGTCTCTCTCTGGTCTCTCTCTTGTCTCTTTCTAGTCCCTCTCTCGTCTCTCTCTCTGGTCTCTCTCTAGTCCCTCTCTGGTATCTCTCCGGTCTCTCTCTGGTCTCTTTAGTCTCTCTCTGGTCTCTTTAGTCCCGCTCTGGTCTCTAGTGTCTCTCTGGTCTCTCTCTAGTCTCTCTCTGGTCCCTCTCTGATCTCTCTCTGGTCCCTCTCTGATCTCTCTCTGGTCTCTCTCTTGTCTCTCTCTGGTCTC